AGTGTTAATGTACGTGAAGGATTGGCAGGACGCTCATTTTCAACTACAAGATAAATACGCTGAAATTGCATGTCGTCAAGTAAGTGATATTTGATTTAATTATATTAATCAAAATTTCATTATTTTTTAATCATTAAATTTAACTTTCTTTAAAAAATTATACACGTCACAACAAGTTGTTCGTGTACAATTTTTAACTCTGCCTACTTAAAATTGATGTAGCTGGTCCCAAACCCGGATAAAGAAGGAGAGTTTACATTTTATTAACTTTAAAAAGAAATCAAAAAAATATATTTTTTGTAAATATATTTCAAAAAATAATTCGTCTTCATTATATAAATATTATATACTTTATAAAAAGTATTACAATATGAATCATATGATATAACTAAAAAAAATTAGAAATTGTTTTTGTTAAATAATTTTTATTTTTTAACACTTTTTATATGGTCAAGAAATCATAGTTTTTTAACACTTTATTTTTATTTTTAACACTTTCACACTTATAAAAATAAAAATAAAAAGACGAGCCCACGAGCCGAGCTCGTGTGCCGGCTCGGCCCATTGTCACCTCTAACTTCATAGTTCAAGATGGAATTGCATTCGAACATTAAATCTCGGCCAAGGGGATTGAGGTTGACAGGGTAAAGATACATGGGATTGAGAAGTTTTCTCCACCTGTTTTGATTGAAGGCATTCAGAGTTTCTTAAGGCATGCAGGTTTTTAACAGCATTTAATCAAATACTTCTCCAAAATCAGAAAGCCACTATGCAATTTACTTGAGAAGGATACTACATTCCACTTATTCGAAAAGTGTTTGGTTGCATTTAACACTCTTAAGAAAAAGTTAAATTTAGTTTAGTATTTGTTTTACTGAATTTGAGTCTATCATTCGAGATTATGTGGAATCCTAGTTACTAGGAAGTTGGGGTAGTTTTCATTCAACACATGAACACTATCTCATATGATTCACTATCTAGCGGACTCTTATTAAAGCATGGTTAAAATATGCAACTACATTTGAAATATGTGTTGCCAAAAAAGGATGCAAAGTTAAGACACATTCATTTTATACTTCTTCTATAGGAGTTTGATTTCGAAATTTAGGATAAAAAGGGATGCGAGAATGTGCTACCTGACCACATATCTCACCTTGAATTGCTAGAACTTGATCAGCTTGAAGAAATCAATAAAGTTTTCTTCGAGAAGACACATTTTTAGATTGGGACTGCCTTGTGGTATATAGATTTTGTGAATTATGCTGCTAGTTCCATCATTCCATCAAATTATATGATTCAATACAAGAAGAAATTTTTCAATAACATCAAGCATTACTTTTGGGAGGATCCTATTCTCTATGGCCGGGTCCAAATCTGTTGGACCCAGAAGGATTATAGTGAATAAGATTAATGTCGCGATATAAAATAATGAAGATCACAACGAGAAACAATATTTAAAAGCAAAGAAATTAACAAAGAAAGTTAATCGCAAAAGCACAATGTTCTATTAATCGACAATATGAAGAGAAATACAAGAACTCAACAATTCTTGTTTGAATAAAACTGAAAGAGAAGACCACTATTTATAGGTAGATGACATAGCATAAAGATGGAAATAATGTGGAATAAGGAAATAATATATTTTTATAAAAATCACATGAAATACAAGTAAACAAATTTTCCCACGTGAAAATAAGGAAACAATTTATTTCCAAAACAAATTCACCCTAATTTGGGTTACAAACCCAACAATCTCCACATTCAACGAATGAAACTCCAAGATTTCAAATTCGTCTGCATCAAAATAGCCAACTCTTCAACACAATAACCAAAACTCTCCAAACCAAATTGTCGTCCTCTACAAGGCGTCTACAAGCTCCACCTCAACTCAAATCCTGGGTTCCCAAAATTCCATCGAGAAATTATTGTTGACCAAATAGGGTCGAAGCACACCCTGTAGCAGAAACTATATCACAGCTGGATTCGAAGGCCCATTGCTCAAAAGCATCCTAGACATTATTGAAATCATGGTACCTACACTCCATGAGTTCAAACCTAGCAAATGAACACAGTGTATCCGCTAAAATTGGTGGCAAAGCGAAATAACCAATGCTCCCCTGAGCAATGTTCTCAACCGACACAGAGTCCGTCACAAGAGATACTGTACCAGACTCAATATCCACCATAGTACTGAAATTGTCCCGATGTTTCTTAACCGGTTCTGCGCTTCCCTGCAAGATATACAAGTGAGATTTCTTCAGTCCCTCCAATACAACCCAGACACCCATTCGGACCTTCAAAACTTTACCTCCACCAAAGAATTTATACCCTTTTGCATCCAGAGTACTAAGTGAGATGAGATTCATTTTCAGATCTAGAACATATTGAACCTGATCAATTGTTTTATCTATCCTATCCTGAGCCTAAGTCTGACTCGACTGATCCCAGTAATACGACAAGACTGGTTATTTCCCATTACAACTCAACCTTGCTGAACAGCCTCATATGTCTAAATGAAATTTCGATTAGAACACATATGATGCGAACATACCGAATCGAGAACCCACTCCTCGTCAGGCTTAGATTTCATGTCAGATATCACGATTAACATTACATCTCCATTATTTGAAAAAATCATCAACTAAATTTGTTTCGTCTGAAGTCAAAGGTCGCGCTTTACAATTTGCAGCTAAATCATATTTAGCCTGTAACATATCACAATCTTCTAGAAGATGTCCCTTACGTCTGTAGTAGAAGCAAAACAAATTGTTGTTATACTTCGATCTGTCCCTCCTTTGATCACTGTGAGATACAAGAGCTTCCCCATCCCTCAATGTAGCTCCAACCAAATACTTCCACTTTTCCTTTGAGTGCAAAGTATCATAGACATCGTCTATAATCAAAGTATTCCGACTATACAAAATGGTGTCCCGAAACGATGCATAAGAGCCAGGCAGTGAACATAACAGGATCAAGGCAAGATTCTTTTCATCGTACTTAACCTCCAACGTCTTCAAATCTGCAACAATTTCCTTGAACACGGCAATATGGCTTTCCAACGACCCTCCTTCTGCTATGTAATGGGAATATAGCTTCTACTTTAAAGCTAGTTTAATGGTAACAATCTTGGTTATACATAACTACTCTAGTTTCAACCATAAAGCAGCTATTGTTTTCTCCTTCAAGATATCCTGCACAATATTGTTTAATAAACAAAGATGAATCAACGACAAATCCTTCCGATCTCGCCATTGTTTCTCCTCCGTTGTCCAAGTAACTAACATCTTCTTAAAACACAACAACACATCACTCAAATTCAACTGCGCCAAAATAGCTCTCATATTTACTTACCACAAAGAAAATCTTGTATTGCAATCTAATTGCAGAATATCATACTTCAAAGTAGTCATCTTTGAAAAATCTCAACCAATCCACAACAAAAACCAAGCTCTAATACCACTTGTTAGACCCGGAAGGATTGTAGTGAATGAAATTAATGACGCGATATGAAGTATTGAATATCGCAACGAGAAACAAAATTTAAAAATAAAGAAATTGACAAAGAGAGTTAATTGCAGAAAGCACAACGTTTTATTAATCGACAATATGGAGAGAAATACAAGAATTTAGCAATTCTTGCTTGAACAAAACTAAAAGAGAAAACAACTATTTATAGGCACATGGCATAGCATAAAGATAGAAATAATGTGAAATAAGAAAATAATATATTTCTATAAAAATCACGTGAAATATAAGTAAACAAATTTTTCCACATGAAAATAAGGAAACAATTTATTTCCAAAAAAATCCACCCTAATTTGGATCACAAACCCCACAAAATCAACTTATTTGATGTTGTATGTCGAAGTAATAGATCAACTTCTAGCTCATTGTCAATCTTGTACTTATGCTGGTCATTTCATAGCAATTAAACCACAGTATTAGTCTTACAGTCGGGATTCTATTGGCCTATCTTCCTTATTTCAATTACTTGGTTTTTATTACCTCTCATAGATGATCAGATATCATTGTCACCCTCCTCAAAATCACAACCATCAGCAATCCAAGACTATACACTAGCATCACTTACTAGTAAAACTAGAGGGAGATCGAAGAAAGAGGACATTTAGGCTCAACGTAGATAATTTTAAGGGAAAATTGCATTAGCGTTCCCTAACCTTTTCATTTTTTGTAGATTTTACCCTAACCATCATTTTCTACCGACGAAGGTTTGTAACCTTTCATAAATATGCACCCAATGTCCATATGGACGGAAACCGTCCAAAATACTGTCAGTTGAATTTATAGACAGTATAAAGTATAATGAGTATAATGTCTTTTGTGAAAATTATAAACAAACGAAAGAAGTCTACAGAACAGCCAAACTAAATTTCCTCTTTTCTCAACGCATGAACACCAAAGATAAATGGAAGAAGGAAAAAATTCGTATAGGAAGTTAGCCACATAATCCATCCGTAACAAAGAAATGGGTTTTGGATTTCGTTTATTTGTTGTCACATAAATCTTATAAATTGATTACTAAATAATATTGTTTTCACGACACATCTCTGTAAAGGAGACGTCAATGACTTTGGGCAATGAGATATAATTTTTCAACATTCATGTATGCAGTAGGAAATTTTTCCTGACTTTAAAAGAATGATTCCTAACTAGATAACTTACGAAATAATTATACATAAACTTCACATTTATGTAGTGCGAAATTAATTCCTTCATTGTACTACATTCACAATACTAGGAATATCTATTAGAACAATGATACAACAATGAATCACATCACACTATTTATTCGTGGTGCCCGGTTATCATTTTTTCGTTCCAACAACAATACAATAATGATGAGTAGAACTAGATAAGACAAGAAAAAGTTATTAAAAAATATATATATATATATATATATGATGGCTACACTGTGGCCGACATTTATTTGATCATTACTACCTCGTACTGAAGGAAAATTAATATGTTTATTTCGGTGAAAGAAAGAAAAAAATTATGATTAGCATAATCAGGTGGTTTAATTCCAACGTAAAGTAAATTGAGCATAATAAAATAAACCTAAGGAGAATGGATAGAGGAAAAATGCTAATAAGCAAGTCCACAGAGGATAACTGGTACGTGAGTATGCAAGAAACCCTATTATGGCGCACACCACCAAAACTGTCAGCACTTCTGCTGAATAATCCCAAGTCAAATCCTTTGCATACACAATTGCTAACAGTGCTGTCAAATTTGAGATGTTGCTCATTACAACTCCACCATAAATCTGCAAGTCAAATGAGACCAATAAGTATGTTTTGCATATTTTATGTTCATAGTTTTTTCAACTCTCGCCGTTACCATTTATGAAAACTGTACACATTATGTCAAATGAGACCAATAAGTATGTTTTGCATATTTTATGTTCATAGTTTTTTCAACTCTCGCCGTTACCATTTATGAAAACTGTACACATTATATCTTTCATTAAAAAAGGAATTTTGTTGACACTTCGGGACTTGTCGTCTGTTATGTAACTACTTGAACTATGAAAATAGGGTGTTTTGAAAGAGAGACGTACCTCTGAAAATGTCAAAGAAGCACTCGTTTCACTCTTGTGACTGGCTGGAGAGATTGCTGCTATCGCGGCTCTGCAATTCATGGCCAATGGCACTACCACAAACGACATGGCGAAAGAAGGCACATTCATGGAATAGGATAATTGTAGAATACTAGTTGTCAGTGGTCCTCCAAGGTAGGTCATTGTAACAATACCCAGCAACACTTGTAATACTGATTTGATAAAAGTCCATACTGATGACTCTCCGTGCTCTAGTTTTTCCTTCACAGTCTGCAATTGAAGGGGTAATAACTAAAATTTGTATATAATGTAATAAATGAACTTTCTAAAGCATAAAAATGGCTTCATGAATATAGATGCTATGTACCTGCTGAGTTTCATCAATACTTCCCTTCTCATCCGAGTGTTTAGCATCAGGAAGGGCTTTTTTCTCCCATTCTATTAGTCCATTGATGAATTCTTGTTCATCAATCACATTGTTACCATTCTTGTCTAAATCTTCGAACAGCTCCTTTACAGCATCGTCATAATTCAACTGAAGTTCTCCGAAATTAAGTGAGCGAATTAGTTGCTCTAGTTCAGTTTTTGATATCTCGTTGTTATAGCCTGTATCAGCTTGCTTGAATAGACTGCCAGAAAAGAGATTGTGAGGAAGTTCTGCCAGCAAATATACTATGATAAAATGAAAAGTACAATAAAGTAAATAATAAAAAAAAAAAAATTACTTTTTAATTCCCTCAATGTTGGTGTTCCCATCGTCTGTGATAAGTGATTCTGATTTAAGTAACTGCTTTCGAGCATCCTCTATAATTTTCGACCATCTCAAATATCTCTTCTTGGGATCAGCTTCTTTCTTCTGCTTAAAAAGATGTAAGAGCGGCACAAGAGTCATGAAAATTTTTAGTTTATCCTAACAGATGTTAGAAGCTCCAATATAATACCATTATAAAAACTTAAGTTAGCATCAATAAATATAAAATGCAATGAAAAAGTAGCTTGCCTTGGGAATACTTGAAGAGGTATCACCACTTGTAGTCGACTGTTTGGTTTCAGTAATCCATTTTTTGCAACCGTTGGAGAATTCTTGATAGTTAATTAGTCCGTCGTGGTCAATATCAAATACTTTCATTACTTCAGAAACAGCAAATTGTTTGTCAACGTTCATCTCTCCTGTATTGATTAAGTCATGCATCAACTTTTCCAGTTCACCCTTTGTTATATTTTTGTTGGCATCTTTATCCGTTTGAGCAAATAAACTGCAAATTCAAGCATTTAATTAGAGCCCTTCACTGGATGATATATACAAATCACCATATAATTTTTTACAAAATTACTTTCCGATAACAGTATCATTAAGGTTTCCATGTTCATCAATGAGATTTCCCTGTTGTTGCATGTGCTTCAGAAACCCTGTTCTCAGTGTCTCGTACTTTGTGTATGCTAAACTTCTTTCCTGCATCCAAGGATTCATAACCTGAAAAAGAAAATGAAAATTAGAAATATAACAAGCAAATTCATGTCAGAAGGGACAAGCATATTATAGAGCTAGTTCTACATCATTATCTCCTAATCAGTCAAGCTACCTGGTAAACGAAATATAATATTAGTGCTGTGGATGACATGACGAGCGATATCAAAATAACTAAATGGGCTCCAAATGATGTTTTCAAGATATCAGCTAGTTGTATGATTAGGTAAGGAATCAAAGACAAGAGCATAATCCCAGCTGTACGACGAGTCTCTTTGTCTATCATAACACCAGTATCTACAGTTAAAGAAAAAAATGTCAGCTCATATATATTCATGCAAATCTCAAATGATTCATGAGAAAGAGGCAGACCCTTTAACTCAGTGATGACTTCTTTGGCCAGCAAACAATTTGAACTAGTTTGCGCTATTTTTTTATGACTAGACCTCGATTCCTGTGCCAACTTTCTCCTGCCAAAAATTAGACATACACCCCACTGCACTGTAAGAGTAAATACAGTAATTCCAGCATAAATCCCCACTCCAAGTGACACCTTAGATTGAGCATCCTCTTTGCTACTGAAAACTCCAGATACTGCAAATGGGGAGAAAAACGTACTTTGTTCATGAGCACCAACGCAGAAAAATGTTGATATAATTTATATTCTTATCATTTTAACAATATAAAACACTGAAATTATCGATTGCCAAAGAATGAATGAAAAGAAAAGTGAAACAAATGTTTGTCAACAACTTACCTATCATAATCAATATTGCTGGTAACCCCACGAGGATTCGGAAAATAATACCAACAATGTTGCTGGCGCCAAGAATATTAAATAGCACCCTGCTACCCGTGCTGAGCTCCTTTTCTCCAAACATGAGTATGCCCTGATAAATCAGTATTTGAAAAATGTAACCTCCGGCATTTTCTGCACATGGTAGGAAGCCATATTGGTGCTCACAAGTGTGTGCAGAGGAAATAGAAACATTTGCAGTAAGAATAGGAGATTTATCGTCAACATTATCAATTCCATCTGACATTAAATCATCGTAGGAGTTGAGTCTCAGAATTCGACATTGAACAAAGCTAATAAAAAGTATAAGCACAAGAAAGCGTAACGCATGGATAGCCATTGTTTGAGAATTAGAATACGTTAAAGTTACTTCATGAAATTCAGGAGGATTATTGGACATTTATATAGGAAGTTCCGACCAGCAGAACAATTGACGTGAAACTTCAATTGTCTGAAGTAGATGTGAATGCACAAAGTCGTGGTCTTTTTTTATTCTTTTCGGCAATGTAAATCTTGAAATTTTTAATAGTCAGTGCAGCCAATCATATGTATGCTTTCCATGGAAATGCATGTAATTAAGACATTGCGTGAGTAGTATTTAATAACATTATGAATACATTTCTTTCATAAGACCAGACCACGTGGTGGAGACTATTAAGATCAATAAACAAAACATAAAGACGAGAAAAGAGTTTAGGTTTCTTGTTCAATTACATAATGAAAATATAAAGGAAAATATATTTTAGATAGCATTGCTTGGAAATGAGTAAAAAGATTAATCTACCTTAAAAAAATAACTAATATATTTTAACACCTCATTACCTGCTGCAAGAAGAGAGAAATGAGACATAGAAGGAAGTCATTACGAAGAAGTTCCCGAAACTGGGAACTGAAATGCTCAGAAACAATAGTATTCACGATTAATCTCATAAACGCTTAAGTGCAGAAAATAAAATTGACAGGAATCAAAAATAAGATCAGAGAAATTGTTTCGGCCTAAGCCCTAGAAGTTCGGTGATTACTTTTAACTCCTAATCCATTGTTAAGCATTGAGCATTTATTAAAATGGATGATCATCATTTGCATTAAAATTACCAAAATGGCAACCAAGAATAGATTGTTTACTTAAAAAGATTGAGCCATAAAGTTTTATCTTTCAAAGAAATTTGCCAAATCAAGTTATTGTTCACCGAGAACCCCAAAATAACACCAACACCCTAATCTAAACTTTACAACAAGAGGAACAACATTTCCTCAACAGATTTTATCAAGAATCAACCAAAATTAGGAGATGGAGTAAAAGATTTAGTATCTTGAATTTGATTTTTGAGAGGAGAAGGACCCTAAAACTGTAAAAGGAAAAGTCTCACGAAACCAAAAGCCAAATGAAAATTGTGTAACTTAATGGATGCCAGAAGGCAAATGAGAAGATTTATTCCACAGAGAATTCCAGAAACAAATTCAACGTCCAGCAAAAAGTCAAGTGTCACAATCAGGTAGAAGGCACTGACTAGTAAAGACGTTTCCAAAACACAACTTTAGCCCCATTTTGGGAGCACAAACTTCAGACGTGCACTTTCACTTAACAATCTCAACTTTGCTATGAAGAATTGGACTCCTTATAATGCAAACAAGAGCATCGCCAGAAGTTTCAATTTCATTTGCTCTTTGTACCTATACAATCATTTAGATATATTATCTCTAAATTGAGTTGCATTATTTTCTATTCTAAATATCCCCTTAGATATATTATCTCTTATAAAGTATATTTGACATCAAAAACAGAATAGCATTTTCATCAATAAAATCAAGTTCATTCACTAAACCTCTTCATCAAATTTCTTCTTTTATAGCATCAACGACAGCAATATATTATACCTCTGTTGAAGACAAAGCCGCAACGTTCTGTAATTGGGATTTTTAACTTATTACAGTAAGATGAAGTTGATCTTCTATTTTCTCTATCTCCAGCAAACTCAGAATCAACGTATTAAAAGTTATCCTTTCCTTATTTTTTTCTAAATACTAAGCATAGATTAAAAGTACCTTTCAAATATTTCAACAACCATTTTAAGGCATCCCAATGCTCCTGCTAAGGGTTACGCATAAATCTTCTAATTAAACTAAAGCTATGTATAAGATCAAGTCAAATACATATTGTTGCGGAAGCTCTCTTGAAAGATCTTCAAATCGGTGATTTTCCGGCTCAGTCCAACGCACCTTTCTCAACCAACAACATGTCCAATCGGCTCCAAACCACAACCAATTGATTCACCTTGGTTGCTATGCAATCTTACCCACGTAGGACAAGAAAGGATGATGATTTATGGCCACAAAGGTTAGGAGAAGACACCACAAAGGTATACTATGAAAGAACCACCAATTTCACACGTTATACAAGCGTTCTGGACACCTTTTTTCACACACAAAAGGGGGCAGCCGGGATTCACTATTTCTTCTCTCAAAATCACACAATCATCATTTGAAAGTGGCTAGGGTTATAACCAAATATGTACTCTAGGGTTAGGCTTTAAGTTGGACCATTAAAGGGCTAAACGAGCCAAGATTCAAGGCATCCATAAGGAATACAATTGGGCCGGGTGTAGCTCATGAACTTAGTTGTTGGACTTATTTCATTCATCGGCCTATGCCTATGAAATAATATTAACCCACGTTAACAACATAGCCCGAGATTTATTGGGTATCAAAAATCCAACAAATCTTCATCTTAATGCCCAATAAATCTGTAAGCAGTCAAAACACACAGTTAGCACTTGCATAATCAAGATAACCAATAAAATTGGATCACAGACCTTACCTCGTGTTTCCAACTTGAAACACATATCATACCTGCTCCATCTACTCACTGGGGTTAAGGTCAAAAACACTCAAGTAGAAACAAATATTTAACAGTAAACAATCAAGAGCAAATAGACATGCGATGACGATATACTATAGGATAACACAAATAGATCTTTTCAAAAACACGTTCACATAGAACCATGGATTAACACCAAGTCAATCAAACCACGGTCAACCACATATGCAACACATGCATAACTAACCCCAAGAAAAGATCTCACTACACTTATCCTATCTCATTCCGTGTTGCTCACACCTCGAGAACACATATCTCCTCTTATCACCCACCAAGCTCACTAGACAGATCACTCAACTCATGTCTAACTGGCAAGTCACAATAGATCCTAAGTTCACGGGATAATCCTCTATCTCCACATCACTTCTCCCAACCTACGTGGATAATGGGTTTCCACCAAAAAGAAGTGTATCTCTCACACTCCACCTGAGCAGGGTCTCTTTCTAGATAAAGGATTCTACACATTTGATCACATCTCCACTCGTGATCCAAATGTCACACTCCACATCCCCGTGCATATCACCAATGCACATCTAGACATCTATACTCCACCTTACCAAAAGGCACACAACACACTACTAATGCATCCTAACCCACTATGCATGCAAGCAATTACATTAAGTAATCCTAATGTCTCAAATTCACTATGGCAAATCAACACCTTTTGGTGACCACAAAGGTTACCCCAATCACCAAAACTCCAAAAAATCCACAAAGAAAATGGTGAAAGTGGCACTCACAAAGAAAAATCGAAGAAAGAGTCGATTACTTCACAACACTCACAAACGAGGCTCACAAAGAAAAAGAAGGTAACTCTAACATGACTGCCTCACATAATCTCACAAACCACACAGGCTCACAAAGATAAAGGAGAGAAACAGCTACCCAACTTTCTTCTCACTACCACACTCTCACACCACTCACAGAGCAAATAGAGTACGCCATAAAACTCAACACATTATGCATATAAACATATTACACAGTAATAAGTCACTCTAATTCATGCAATTACACACATCAAACATATTGAAAGTGTAACATCAACATTGCAACAGAATTAAGTGACCACATACATACAGAAAGGATTACACACAGATGCAATGAAGTAACCAAGTTTATTTTCTCAATAAACATCACTAGGATCACTACTCGACCCTAAAGTCACATTCACCTTGTCTCTATTCTCATCTTTCCTTTTGTTATCATCTTAGAACAATCTCTTTCAACTATGTCTACCATAGTTAAAACATATTTTATTTTTCGCACTTGCCTTAAACCTATACATGCCAACCATACCAAATAATAACCACAAGCAAAGTATTGACATATAATTCACATAGAATAGTCAAGTAAACTTTCCTAAAGTCACATGCAATCCTATCAGTGTAGAAAAAATTGGTGACAAATTGGCATAGAATTTAAGATAATTGATTAACATGTAATTCCTAGGTCTAACAACAAACAATGGTTACCCCAAACCTAACGTCACCCCACACAATGACTCCTATTGCGAAAAATAAATAATTAACCTACACATTAATTTTAACTGCAATAATAAAAAAGCAAAGAATACGATACCGAGCGAACCACGTCTGAAGGTCCGTAAATATCGAGACATGCAAATTTATCACTTTAGGACCACCACTATTCGTCCTAAAGTCTCTGGAAACTGCAGCAATCAAGAAATTACGATCGAGTCCCGAACGCCCGAAGAACAATGTTATCCAGATTCTTCTACGTACCTTGAAACAGAAAACTTTCAACACGAAAAATGTCAGAAATAATATGAGGAACAAATTGTCTGAAAGGACCTCCTCGAGATTCCCTCTCATACGCCCTCATGCGCCGTCTCTTCCCTCTGCGTGTGGGCCTCACGCGCCACCACACACGCCTCCGAAGGTTGACACGAGTCACCATACAGGGTTCGCCTCCACTTGCACGTCACGCCAGCGGTCTCCATTTCCTCAAACTCCTTCTGGATTGATCAGAAAATGCAAAAAATGGAGACTGATTTTGACAATTTTTGGACAGCTTCTTCAATCTAATTTCTATTGCGATTTCTGGACGTTTTTGGTGTGTTTCACGAGCCAAAATCATCACCTTCGAACGGGTCAAGTTCAGGTGTTATAACAGGAAAATCAATGTAACACGAAGGTATGTAAACAAAAGTTCGAATTTCCACGCAACAAGTCTCACACAGTGACTATATGACATGTAAAGCACAAAATCAACTACCAACTTGCAATCAAAACTCAACACTTCAAAAACAGAGCAAATAATTCCTAAATTTTCTAGCACCATGTAAAGCACAAAATCAACTACCAACTTGCAATCAAAACTCAACACATATCATAAAAAACCTAAAAAAAAAAAAAACATCAAAAAAAAAAAAAAAAAAAAAAAAATAGACATTCTATTGTATTCTTCCTTAGTTTTGGAACAAAAATCAAATGACAATTTAAAATGATTAACAAGAGGTAAGAAACAATTTTATACTAAAACTTGCCAAACTTTTTCAAAAT